AGTTTTACTTTGCATGTTATTCAGATATAAAGGGTGACAAGGATGAGCAAGGACTAGTGAACTATGAAATTTCCTAGGCTAGTGCAATTACCACATACAGTCCTTTGCTTGTCATCAGCATTTAACAAATGATATTTAGTTCTTACCCACCCCTTTTTTCATCATGCTTTCGTGTGATTGTCCCCTCTCTCTCTGACATACACGCACACAATAATGCAAAAAAAAAGGGCACACTGAGACTTGTCCAAAAGTATTGACCAAGCGTTGTTTTTAAAATTTCTATTTTCACAGCAGGAAACTTACTAGCGTATTACATGGTTATCAGATCGATAGTATTATGTCTGTGAGGATGTCAAATGAAAATGAAGCAAGCAGAAGATTGAAATCTGAGTTTCTAATACAATTTGATGGAGTTACATCAAATTCTGATGATCTTGTTATTGTAATTGGTAAGTTTTGTGTTGATTGTAAAGTTTGATATATTGATCTGTTGAATTCCTTGGGCAAATGGCCATCTATTTGTATAAAAATAAACACATTGATACTTGTGTTTATGTTTTGGCAGGAGCTACCAACAAACCACAAGAGCTGGATGATGCAGTCCTAAGGAGACTGGTTAGTAGCTGCTGCATCAATTTTCTACTGCTAAGCATTAGGGAAAATAAGACTGCAAATTGCAAAAAATAATTGAATAACGAATGAGAGAACATATTATGTGTGCATCTCCAAGTATAGTAATTCTTATTCCTGACTTTAAAAAAATTGGTAATTGTGGCATGCTTTTAAATGGAAACCAGAACCTGCATTTTTGTTTCCCAATTGGGATATTTTGAAATTTATTATGGAAGACCTTTCTTGGATCACTTCTTCAGAAGATTACTTTGAAAAATGGAAAGAAACAAAACTGACTTGCTATCTTTTACATGAGACATGTTAACTGATTTTTATCCTTTGCTGTGTTGCAACAATGAAATCCCTAATCAGGTGAAGAGAATATACATCCCACTGCCAGATGCAAATGTCAGAAAGCAACTTCTGAAGCACAAACTCAAGGGCCAAGCATTTTCTTTGCCTGGTGAGTAAATTTCTCGAATGAATGCGGCATCTTTTTTTTAAGGTTTCAGGAGTATACTTTCAGAAGTATAAATTAAGCTTAGTGGCACTGAAGCCTTTTGTTATTATAATCTGTAAAAGTAAATCAATAAGCAAAAGCTAAATCCATTTTCTCCCAAACAATTTCATTAAAGGCGTTTTATATTTACAACTCAAATGACATATTACCATTCTAGTCAACATGATTGGATTTTTTGGATGAGGAAAAAGTCCATGCAGTAGAAAAGTGAAGATATTAAATTGTTAGTTATATGGCATGTTCTCGCTTCTTAATCTCATCTTTCTTTTTGTCTCATTGCATCAGATGGAGAGCTGGAGAGGCTCGTGAAAGAGACAGAAGGTAACATTACTGCTTTGTTGTCTTAACTTTTACCTGGGACTTGAGGGTGGGGTTCCAGCTTAGTTTTTGAAACAGACGCAAATTGATGAAAATCTGACGAGGAGGCCTGAATCTGGGGTTGGGAATTGAGAACCTGAAATTTCAGATGAGCAAATAAATTAGTCTGCTCAAGCCAGATTATGCTGAGGACATAAAAGATTAATTATTCTTGGTAAGTAGTATTTTATATAAAACTCACTTGCACAGGATACTCTGGAAGCGATCTACAAGCCTTGTGCGAGGAAGCTGCAATGATGCCCATTAGAGAGCTTGGTGCAAATATCCTAAATGTCCAGGCAAATCAAGTGAGTGAGTTTAAAATGTATTATTTTCAGATCTTTAGTTTCATGCCTCTGTTTCATGTTCCAAACCCCTGAGGTGGTATTTAATTTCATGGCTTGTCCAACTTCCTTTTAGTTTTGTGCATCTTTTTCTGCTAATGCAATTTCTGTGTCAAGGAGATGTGACCATTTAATCCTTGAAAAAAGTTTCATTCTCTGTTGCTGTTCTTTTTGTATAGCATCTTAAAATTTTCTTTCTCCTTAATGCTTCTTCATCCTTCTCTGGAAAGTGCCCTTTTTTTTATTTTGGACTCCATCTGCATCATTTAGTCCGTTGCCAGATTTTTATGCTATGTATTATGTACCCGGGAGGAAAGATTCCATTAAGGTGTGCGTTTCAATGTGCAGGTAAGGTGTTTGAGATATGGAGATTTTCAGAAGGCAATGACTGCAATCAGACCTAGCCTGCAAAAGAGCAAGTGGGAAGAACTTGAACAGTGGAACCGGGAGTTTGGTGCTAACTGATCTGTCGTCCTGCTTACACAGCTGTTCTAAGTCAATTAGCTTGAGAAAGTTGCAACAAGACTTGAAGGAAACTGCAGTGTAGCAAAGCTGCTTTGAGATATAAAGGTCGCGTGGTCTCATTAGTCGGACGTGCAGTTATTTATAGCTTACCTGAAACCCAAATTCATTGTCATTTATGTGTATATGGAATTGTAATTTAAGCCTTAAAATTCTCAAAGTAAAGCATGCATGTACATATATACGTCCAGAATCTCTCAATACTGTCTTGTGCATGTGCTAAGCACAATGGATCTGAATAACACGTACAATAGTTACTGCAGAAAACATGCATCTTTACCTATTCTGCGGCATTTAATTCTAGTGCTTCATATGGCTTTGAGCTCACAGTCCTCAGCAGTATAGTTCAAGATGCAAATTTATGGACTTGACTTGTATTTGACTGGCTCTATGGTTTCCATTCTCCAGTAACAGAAGATGCTTTTAATATTTTCGTATTTTTGTAATTTTCAAAAGAGAGACTTTGCAAATCTTTGTTGACAAACTTAGAACGCTGTGGTGGTCCAACTGTATTCAAAGGGTTACCATGTATTGACTTTCTTGTACTTCACATGTATTTTAGTTCGTCACAATAGCTTATCCTGTTGTTTTTTCAATTCTATTTTTTGGACATGGTTGATAACATGAACACTAATTGAATTTTCTATAAATTTAATGGTCCAAAAAAATCCCAAAAATAAAAAAAAATTATTACCAAAATCAAGAATAAGAGACGGACGAAGTAAGTCCCTAGATGAGGAAGTACTGAAGCAAGGAGCAGACAGGCAGCAAAGATCGCATTGGTCTAACTGCAAATATTTTGTGGCAAATATGGAAGAATAAAAATAGGAGGGAGTTTGGTGATCAGCACTCCCACCAGCCATTAAGAATCATCCGAAAAGCTCAAAGAGAATGGCTGGAACAAGAGGAAGCAATGACAAAGAAATAGATTGAGCACAACTGAAACAGCATTACCTCAGGAATGGCACCGGTAGGAACCGGACCCAGAAGGAACCATAATATTAAGGATTGCAACTCAAGGTCAGCAAAGATACCCCCCCCCCCCCTCTGCCCCCTCCCTCTCTTCTCTCTTCATGGGGATAGGAGTTACAACAATGGAAAAATTGCTAGGCATTGAAAGAAAGGACTTCTGGATGCAAGAGCGTAGATGATGCGGTTGCTGCCAAACTGGCAATGTGCAAAGCAGCAGTGGAGGAAAATTAACATTCAAATCCAGAAACAAGGAACTTTTGGAACTAGCACAGTAGGTTGGCTACGAGTGGTGGAAGACATCAAAAGTTTGAAAGTGTTGTTTCAAATGTCGTCTTTCTGTTTAGTTAGAGAAGATAGAAATATAATTAGCCATAAAATTAGTAAGGATTAATATTTCCTATACTGACAGTGTATACACTATCAATGTTGGATGAAAGATAATTATGCAAAATTTGAATTTGAAATTCAAATTTTTGCATAGGTGTCGTGGATCTAACGGTGATAGTGTATGTACTGTCAATGTATATAAGATTTACTCAATTAGTAATTATGCTTTAGACTTAAATTCTACGTGTCATTAAACACCTTTATATAGTTTTGATCGACCATTTGGTCACCAATGTAAACTGTTGTACAATCAATACAAATCTCTTAATGTTTCAAAAAAAAAAAAAAAAAAAAGAAGTACTGTACTAGTAACGTGATTAACCATAAAATTAGTAATTATGTTTTAGATATAAATTCTATATGTCACTAAACACCCTTATATAGTTTTGATCGAACATTTGCTCACCAATATAAACTGTTGTATAATCAACACAAATCTCTTAGAGCTAGTTTGGGAGGAAGGAAATGGATAGAAAAAAAAGGTTTTGAAAGGATTACAAATTTTTTCCATCATTTGAGAGCCAAAAAGAGAAGGAAAAGAAATGATTTGGAAAGACTTCATTTCTCTCTGTGTATTGGAAAACTTTTCGCCCAAAGTTGGGCCGAAAAGGAAGGAAGGGACGGTGCTTTAAGTGAATTTTTTGATATGACAATATTGCCCTAAAAATCATGATACAAAAATTTTTAATTCTCGATGAGTCCCCTAACTTACTTGATTCACATTTATTTACAAAAAGGGCAATTTTGTAAAATAACCTATTTGAGCATCTTTTCTTTTCATTTGTTTTCAACTCCCAAACAAAAGAAAATCACTTACCTTCTTTTCCTTTTTAAAACTCCGAACAACTTAGATAGAAACTTAAATCATTTTCCATCCTTTCTTTTCTTTTCTAACTTACCCTTTCTCTTCTTTTCTTTTCTATTCTAAACTCCCAAACTAGCTATTGTTTGGACAGAGGATTATTTGTCAAATTTTATTTGCTTACATCATCATTACAATTTTCAACACACATTTTTATATTTTTAATTATTTTTTTATCTCATATACATTACATTATAAAAAGTGATACAATAAAAATATCTCAAATAATTTACAATCCAAACAGAGCACCACCAGTAAGAAAGTACTGTACTAGTAACGGGACTAGTTAACGTGTTTACTTCATTGAGCTTTGGGGGGGAACCAATAACGTGTTTACTTCGAAATTGAAGCGTCCAGATCTCTCTTAAAACGTATCACCCGACCCGACGGGTATATTTTGTCCCTGCCCATTTGAAAACAAGACCGTTAATTCTACACTGGGAAGTGAGAAGTGAGAACCTCCCAACTAGAATTTTGAAAGCTCAAATTTTCTTCAGGCAGGCGGGCGGTGAATTCATCACAACTTCCATCGGATCATCCTTAACCGCTCCGGTAAATGACGTCATCATCATCTCAAACTCAAGTCCAATCTCAGAAGCCCCCTAGAAAACCCCAAGCACCACCCATTTCCACCACCACACCCACCACCTCAAAACGGAATTGGTCCCTCAACGATTTCGAAATCGGAAAACCCATCGGCCGTGGCAAATTCGGCCGCGTCTACCTAGCCCGCGAAGTCCAGGTAGAGAAAATTGAAGCCATTTCTGCAGAATTAAGTCAAGTGAATTTTATAGATATAAAATTGTTTAATTTATTTATTTTTGAATTGTTGGTGTGGGGGTAGAGCAAGTATATAGTGGCGTTGAAGGTGATATTCAAGGAGCAAATAGGGAAACATGGGCTGCACAGGCAATTGAGGAGAGAGATGGAGATTCAGTCTAGTCTTCACCACCCCAATATTCTTAGGCTTCACGGCTGGTTCCACGACGACCTCCGCGTTGTCTTGATTTTGGAGTACGCCCACGGCGGCGAGCTTTACCGCCAGCTCCGCAAGTCCGGCCACTTCTCCGAACCACAAGCCGCCTATGTATGTTCTAACCTTTCTGGATTTTACATAACCCTTTATTTCTTTTTTTTTTTTTGGCGGGTTACAAGAGTTGGGGTGGGATCACTGGGCTATATTTGATTTCGACTGCTTTACTTAATGCTAGCACATTTTTTTGCTCCTCTAATTTTTGTTGGTATATTTGCATCATTTCATTGGTGTAAGGTGTAAAATGTGTGGTTTAATCAGGATGTAAAACCGAATAGGAAATTCAGTATCTGGGATGTGGACATGTTACCAAAGGTTACTATATCTGGAATCAACAGGATAGGAGGTAGATTTACAAACGGAAGTATGGCGGGGAAACAAGTGGAAATTTAGAAGATACTATAGCCTACAGTTATAGCTGCGTTGAGATAGTTGTAGATTAGGCTTTGATGAGGCTATATTCACTCTGCATTAGTTCACAGAAATCTTCTAGCTCTGCTTTATGCCAGTTCTGTTTAACAGTATACGTTGTCGTTTGTGTTGTTCATTTTTGCGTTTCCTTATTTTGCTTGATATTCTGTTTTGTATTTTGTTTAGCTGGATTCTCATTGTGGCCTTGTTTTAGGCCCCCGGGTTGGTATTCTGAACGCTTTTGAAATAAATTCTACTTTCCCAAAATCTTTGATGACTATATTCCTGTAGTGGGCTCTCACTCTTGATGTTTGATCATTTTCTTTTTGTCAATGTGAATTAGTACATTGCTAGTCTCACGCGAGCATTGGCATATTGCCATGAGAAGCATGTGATTCACAGGGACATCAAACCAGAAAACTTGCTACTTGATCATGAGGTAATGCCCCTGAAATCGAAAATCTCAGCCTTATCAGCTTATGCATCATTTGTCTTTACTTTGAACCCTTGGAAAAATTTGACATTTGGGCAATTGTGAACTGACATAGATTTGAAACTTTGAACACTTTCATCGGAAACTCATCTATCCATTTACACCTGTTGTAAATATAGTGAGCTTGATTCATACTTTGGCATTTTACTGGGGTCAGTAATAAAAATTAATTTCGAACCCTACAGATTGGGATAAGGGATATTCCAGCTATCCACTGCACGAAATCATCATCCCAGAGTGGAAAAATGACTGGGAGATATTATCATGGAAAGTAGTGGCATATGCCCACGAGGAATGCTTTGTGCATTTAAGTATTTTAGTATTAGGAGAGAAGCAGCTTTGAAATTTTCTTTAGATGTGGATGAAGATTTTGAACTGTCAAATGTTTCAATACAACCGTATGATGAATTATTGATTTGAAAAGCGTATACATTTGCAGGGCCACTTGAAGATTGCAGATTTTGGATGGTCCGTACAATTAAAGTCAGAAAGCAAAAGAATGACCATGTGTGGAACTTTGGACTATTTAGCACCAGAAATGGTGGACAACCAAGCTCATGACTATGCTGTTGACAACTGGACATTGGGTGTCCTGTGCTATGAGCTTTTGTATGGCGTTCCTCCATTTGAGGCAGAGAGCCAGAGGGATACATTCAGAAGGTGAAGGAGAACACAGTTAGTCACGTATTCCTATAATCAAATTTGTCATCTACAGATAATGAAATTGAATTAACCTCTACAGGATAATGAAGGTCGACCTCAGCTTCCCTTCCACTCCTACTGTGTCTGCAGAAGCCAAAAATCTCATCAGTCGGGTAAGTTTGCTGTATAATCTCTTTCTGTACCTCATAAAGATGATCAGATTTGAGGGAGTGAAACATCATTTTCTGTTATAATTCTGTTACCTTGCATTTGTTCAGCTTCTGGTAAAGGACTCAAAAAAAAGGCTGTCCCTTAAGGAGATTTTGGAGCACCCTTGGGTAGTTAAGAATGCTGAAAACGCAGTTGCCTGCACATATTAGCTTAGTCCCATTCTACTCCAATCTCTGAGTTGGAGATTACTTCTAGTTAAAGTGAAGTGAAGTTGTCTTTAGAACGCATTTGTAATCTCAGAAGAAGAAAACTTTATTTCTTTTTCTCTTCATTCGAGCACTATACATAGCATTAAGTTGTAAATTACTACAAGTTTAGTGCTTGACTTCTTGCTAACATGCAAATGAATCTCACCGTCAAAGCACCGATTAATTAGTTTTATGAGTTTCATGGTGTAACATTTGGATCTTGGTCAATAGAGAGCTTGTTCAGCCAAAGAAAATTATGAAACAATAGCTATCTGAAACAGTTTGTGTATATTCCACAGCTCCTTCGCACCTTGCAGAATCTGTCAAATAAAAGTGCAGTGGCTTTTTGAGAAGGATTAGTTAAAATAAAAATAATGTGTATGACTCAAATCTGCAATTAAGCATCTAACATCAGCTGTGATCTTTGTGAAGATCTACTGATTAACACATTCAGCCAGGTTCCCTTCTCTTTCTCAGAGTTTAAGATATTGGCTTTGGATATGAAATTGCTCTGGAATATTACCTGTTTCCCAAGACCTTTCAACAGGTTCATTAATAGAGTCAAGTGACTGGTCAGTGTGATAATATGAAAAGCCAAAGTGGAAATCTATCTGAATTACTCTCTCTCTCTCTCTCTCTCTCTCTCTCTCAACCCGGCGAAATTTAATGGACGAGTTCATATTGCCTTATCTTTTCTTTTTTCTCGTTTTTATTACTAGAAGTCAATTGAAGCCCTATCGGTTTCTGGATTTTTTTTTTAAAAAAAAAATTGTTCAAAACGTCCTTTACATTTTACAAAATAATTTTTTTACGTCCCTTATAAACTCATATTAATCAAATTTAGTCCCTATCTAGATTTTCGACTAGTTTTTTGTTAAAAGCTGCCATGTGTCTTGCACATGATCATTTTTAAGGGTAAAATTGTCAAATCAAAATTTACATAATACAATCGATAGTCTTTTATATTTCATAAAATGAATTGTTTCATCTCTCACATTTTACAAAATAAAATTTTTCATCATTCACATTTTATATAATAAAATTTTCATCCCTCATTGATCATGTGTACGAATAAATTTTTTTTAAATTCATATATATATATATATATTTATTTAATTTTGCCTGAACAATACAAATAGCGTGTAATATATCTCTATTTGATTTCGCCTGAACGTACTGTTTAGGTGAAATTAAATAGATATATACAGGGGTTTTAAAAAATTGTTAGTTTTCACTCATGTTCATTCCCTTTTACTCGAAAATTGAAACAAAGAAGACATTTAATCCTAAACATTATCAAGCATTTATATCGAATTAAATTTAGACAGAAAAATAAATAAAGGAAAAGTATGACAAAAGAAGTGAGTGATTAACATTTTCAAATTTTAAAACAATCACAAGGCAAAAAATTCAACTGTTGGTTTTAAAGATGACGAGCAAAAATTTCAAATTTAAACTGCAATTTGTTAGTATGACTATAGAATTTGAATTAGAATCGAATAATTAGATAGCCATATTACGCAAAACAATGAATGAATTATTACCAAAAGAGAAAACGTTACAAATATTGAATAGATTCACATGATGAAATCAAATAGATATTTATATATATGGGTTTAAAACAAAATTGTTAAATTTAAACCCATATCTATATATATCTATTAAATAGCATGTGTACAGCTATAATTAGTCTGTTTAAGTGAAATCAAATAGAGATATAGTACATGCTATTTGTACTGTTCAGGTGAAATCAAATAGATATATACACAGATTAAAAAAAATTATTCGTACACATGATCAATGAGGGATGAAAAAATTTATTTTGGAAAATGTGAGAGATGAAAAAATTCATTTTATGAAATGTGGGGAACGAAATAATTTATTTTATGAAATGTAAAGGACTATAAATCGGATTATATAAATTTTTATTTGACAATTTTGCTCATAAAAAATGATCTCATACAAGACACGTGATAAATTCCAATAAAAAACTAGTCGAAAATCCAGGTAAAGATCAAATGTAGATTTGTAAAAGACGTAAAATTACACTTTTAAAAATAAGGGACGAAAAAAATTATTTTATAAACTGTGAATGATGTTTTAAAAGATTTTTCCTTTTTTTTCCCTTGGTGTTTTTAAAAGATTTCTACTTGGTTTCCAGTTACTTTAGAAAACGTTGTACATTTTTTTTTTGTTTGTCCTTCCACTTATTTTGTCTTTAGTACAAGTAATGCAATTTCAGAAATAAATTTTTTAGTATCTTTGCTTTTAAAACAAAAAAGGTAATGCAATGGAACAGAGGAAGGGTTGAATTGTAAAGTGAGAGACATCGTGGAAGATCCTGGTTCAACACCTCCTACTTACAAAAAAGATTGTTCGGAAAAAGATGGTGATTCTTAATTTGCTTAACGCGATTCAACAAGCGGAATAAGGGAAAAATGTCTTTAATGTTTCAACTTTTCAATTTAGCCCATTCACAACCTTCTTTGACACAGAAAACAGAAAAATTTTCAAGAATTAAATGCATTAAGAAAGGCAGCTTGAAGGAAATACAGAAAAAAAAAAAGTAACTTTAATTCCCTAAATACTTGTCTGGGAACATTCATAAGCTTTGTCCACTAGCCATTCCGGGCAAAGAGTTTTGCATCCCCAGCACCAGCATGAACGATGAAATGGAAAATTTGAGTCCCGCATGGCCAAATACCCACCGCTGGAAAGCCAATGATTGTGCAGATGCCTCTGCTGCTGTTAACCTGTTGACCTACTTTTAAATCTTCACATATGCCTATGAATGTATAAACACAGTACTACTCTACTTGTTAAAGATAATTATAGCACCTTGATCATGTAAAACTCAGATGAAAGAGGGATGCAAATACTTCGTCTAGCATACAGGATAGAAGACAAATTCATAGACCACAACGCAGTCACAGAGCAATTACACATTCCACTATCAAAAAAAGACATGAACAAACATGATCCTGATTCTTCTTACATATAGTAGCTAGCTGGTGCTCCAAATGAGAACAGGGCTTCAGAATCGGAGTTTGGCAAAGAAATCATGGAGATAAAGTTAGAATGTGAGAACTGGTAACATTTTCATCTGTCACAGTTGTGGCATCACTGTTGCTGAAGCTGCTAGAATCGGCATCAGACATATGCTGGGGATTTGCTGCAATTGAGATGGAGAGATTGGTATTCAGCTTCTCAACTTTTGTGGCTGTCCCGCAAGTTTGAATGTTATGAGACGGAGGAGCAGCAGGAGCACCAATTATCAGTTTAGAACCTGCAACTGCCTTTTTTACACCCCTGTGTAAGTGCCTCTCACAATACTTCTTATCAGGTACCACATCCCTGCTGCATCGCCATTTTTTACCATCTGTTCTGCGGCATCTCAGTGGTTCCACTTCCACTTCTGTCTTACAGTCAAAGTTCAATTGATTGCAGTTGCTAGCTGTATAGAAATAAGACAGGCCTCATCTCATGTCAAGCAATAGATCAGAATACATATCGTCTTGATGTAAGATATCAAACACTTTTGCAACGATCAAAATCCATAATCCATTATCCAGTAGCCAAGAAAGAGTACTGCCCCTTTGAAAATTATTGAGAACATTACCATGAGATGGTATACTATATCTAATGTTATTTGTTAATTAGCAAGGCTTAAAGTTGCATACATAAGAACAAATGTCAATAAAGTTAATACAAAAACGAGATGAAGAGATATTGTCCTTCAACATGTACTTCAGCTTTTCAATTTCATTTTCAAAGCAAGTGCATTATCAAACCCAGATTCGCAAACAAATATAAAGATCAAATTTGCATTATCCGCGCAGTAAGATGGGGAGCTAGCCACTGGCAAAGAAACCTCCATAAAATGGTAAATGGTGGTCTAACGAGTAGCGTTTTCTGTGACTCAAGCGCCAATATCCAGTTGACTAAACAGCCATCAAACTGCATATACATGCCATCCAAGCAACCAAAAGAACCAGCAATTACAGGCAGGAAAGGCAACTCATTTTTATCCTCATTTTTGGTTTGCATAGTTTTCTTTTTTTTTTTTTCAAATTTTGGTATTACAAGGACAAAGCAGAGAAAATAATATTGACTCACAAAGTGATACAACACTTAATTGCCACCTCATTATGTGAAAAGAATAATGGGAAACAACTCTTACAGCTCGATTCAATCGCATTGGCATAGTCCACTCCTTGACCAAATGAATCCTAAAGCTCAACAAATATTTTTAAAAAAATGCATTTGTTATCAATAAAACACGATACAAAAAGGAATTATTGTTTTTACCTGTGCTACATTGGAGAACACTCTTTGGAGACAAACCAAACCCAGGAACAACAGAAGCATCACCAGATTTCTTGTTTCCTCCACTGCTCTGATCAATTTTGTTGGTACTAATGTTGGAACATTCGAAGCCTATGCCATCAGTGCAGTTACTTCCATATTTTGTGTTATTTTTGTCAGCTAGAACTCGGATTAAAGAACTGGTACTGGTGCCATTGTTGACTGTCATAACATTGTCACCTTTGCTTTCCCAATTCCCATTTCCAGTATAGGGTGCAGAGCTACTTTTAAGTGTTTCAGGGACACTTTTGCTAATGCTGGGACAGGGTACTGTAAGATTAAGGCTAGTAGAGAGCATAGCAGGCGTCCTGCTATCAGTAGTGGTAGCATTTGAAGTATTCATAGATGATGCAAAGATATCAGAGTTGATTGCTGAGGAATTAGCTTTCGTGTCATCTTCAGAAGTTTCCACATGCTTTCTTGAACGCTGACAGCCTCTATGCATGTGCCTTTCACAGTACTTTTGATTAGGAACCACGTCTCTGTAACACCTCCATTTCTTGCCATCAGTTCTTCGGCACCTCCCAGGTTCAGCATCCATCATGCTTCGGTAATCAAAATCTCTAGGAGTGAATCCTAAGACTAAAGGCAAAAATATAAAACAATATAAATCGAAATATATTTAAACAGGTGAAGAATGCAATCACGAAAATATTAACTTTGAATCTAACAGATAAATAATCAGAATCATAAAACATGAGTATTTTGAAGAGAATATAGCTCCAGCTAGACAAGCACCCATTATAATCTGAAAGCAAAGACAACACTGCTTTCAAAAGTTGCTACCAATGCAATTTCATTGTATGGTCATCTCATAAAACTATACAGTTCATTATAATTCAACTGAAAAGCCAACTATGCTACATCCACTGCGAAATTTTCATCCTAGTTCATTCTTTGTCAAGGGGTGAGGAGGATGAAAGAGGCTAGCCAAAACATAACCGAGACTTCCTCATCTAGCCAAAGATGTACTACAAAAGAATAACAGATAATTTAAGAAAGAAAAATCAAGGAAATTACTTACAACTAGGGAGTTGGTCGTAGATTCCACTCTTGGAAGAGCCCAGGGAGGCCGCAAGACTCCGCCAAACAGGAAGAACAAGATCGATAGGCACAGGTAGTCCAGCAACTATGTACCTAAAAATGACAACTTGAAGCTGCAGCTGTTGAAGTTGCTCAGCTGTGAACACAAGCTGATCCTTTTCCTCCTTAACCACGCCTCTCAACCCTCTAGAATCGCCAATTCCAAGCTCAAGATTGCTCAATGGAGACCCTTCTCGCTTCTTTCGAGTTCCATCCCTACCAACAACTCCTTTACCTACATCATCTTTTTTTTTTTGGAAAAAAAAAAGCATCAAAAGCAAATAAAAATCAAGAAAACCCCTTAAAAAAATGACACTGTACCATTTTGGAGAGAGAGTAAGAGAAATAAAAACAAACCATTGATAGAAAGAAGCTGAGGCTGCATCTCTTGACATGGGTTTTGTGAAGGAAAGCCTAATAAAGCAACGTCCAAGAAAAGGCTTCTGTGGAACTGCAGATTTGACGGAAGCAAAACCAGAAGAAAAAAGGTGAAAAAGAAATTTCTTACTGAGCAGGAAACGGCAGGCCAGTGGGGCGAGACGGGGGATAAATAATAATAAGATAAGGAAGCAGCAAAGCAAGAAAGAACCGCCTAAATATAACAACAGCAACAACAAAGCAAGAGAAACAAGGGACAATGCAATCACGGCTTGTGACTGACATGCAAACAGCCCATCTGGCCATCTTTTGGAGGAAGAACGATAGATATAGAGAAAGGAAATATGAAAGAGACAGAGATGGGGTGTAGAGATACAGACAGAGAAAGGATTAAAAGTAAGTTTAGACTCGGCAGGCAGGTGGGCAGAGGGGTCTGACAGTTTCAGCCTTTTAACGTTGCAGCGTTTGCAGAAGAATTAAAGTCGAAACCAGAAATCAAAAGAATTTCGTGAACGAGGCCTGAGGACACTTGTGATGTTGTCCAAATCCTTACCGCTTGATGTCAGACTCTTTTGTCTTTCTTTTTCGTTGGGATCGCCCGCATTGAGGACGAAACTCCAATAGTGCCAAATCTTTTGTGTAGGTATCCGGGTAAAATATTGCGCATTTCATGTTACCGCAATCTTTATTACACCTTAGCTCCACCAGATGGCATCAATTTGTTTGGATAGAAATTTATTTGGATGATTTATTTGAGTTAATTACTGTAGTACTTTTTGTGATGTAATGTATATGAGATAAAAAAATAATTAAAATTTGTGAAACAAATTATTTTATCTGAAATTATCTCAATCCAAACAAATGCATCCTTCTTTAATATTTTAATTTTTATCTATAGATGGTTCATAGATCGGGATACTAATGGCAAATCTCAGCCTAATATAAGTTTGTCATAGAAACTGTAAGAACAATTGTGTAACAAGAAATTGCATGCCATTTGGATAATGGTGATAAAAATTACAACCTTTAAGCATAATTTGATGTTTTTTCACAATTTTGGATCGTGTTTGGGTGTAGGCTGCAGCTTGGTTATTATTTTAATTGGGTTGTAACAAAGAAAGAATAAGTTAAACATGATTAATTTTACAGAAAAAATGTTTTATGCAACTCATTGGAACAACTTATAAGTTCATATCTCACTAGACTACCTTCACATAATGCATCTAATCTTGAGTTCCCTAATACTCTGACACCTCATGCTTATAGGAAACAAGCTCTTAATTTAACCACAACTCCTTACAAGTTGTTCTAACAGGGAAGATAAAGGAGATCTTTGAAACTATAAGGGTGCTAAATGATATTAAGGCAAACCTAAGGGATGGTTTGTGAAATTATCCTCAACTTTAACGTCTACTCTTGTCCTTATATGGTATCAGGGATGTTACCTGGGCCCTTAGCTCTAATCGTGGGCTACGGTTTTATTTTTGGGTTTCCCACACCTCGAGTTTGAAGATTGGTCTATTTCATAAGAAAGGTACAACTTAGAACATGCAGTATGTCTTGCTTCTTGAAATTATTGGGCTTTTATTGTGTTCGTCGAGTTGGGCTAATGTCAGCTCACCAAATTAAGGTGTTCTTAGTACAGTTACTACAGTATTCCTTGAGGACTCAGGGAGCAAGTTTATTGTAGAAAATTATTTACCAATCCACGCCACGGTGTCGGCAGGTTCTGTGCTTGGAAAATATTGAGCACTTCTGCCTTCGTGGGGCGAGCTGACAATAAATGGGATGAAAAACTGAAAATAATTACTACATTAAATTATGAAAAACTAGACATGAGAGATTCACAGCAAATATGGTCCTTGCACACTGTTAGATCCCATTTGCTTTTAGATCTCTTTATAGTTTATACACAAATCTACCCTGATTTAATTAGAAATAAGCTTGAATTTGTTTTTTTCAATCAATCGACAACATTTATACTATTCTGTCCTACAGGGAGGAGAAATCCAACTGAATTGTATAAGAAGTTTGAGGAAACAAGATCCATTTAGGTTGATGGGGTGCTTTTTTTTTTTGTCAGACTTTTTCAAGTTAGCAATTAAATCTAATTCCAAAATTAACCTCAAAAGCCGGCAACTCTTGAGGCAACCTTGGGGACTTAACTACCCAACCCTCAAACCCCTTAGAAGCAATGTGGGACAACGGCGAGGTTAGTAGGGAAGGGGTGCTTTGATATAGTCTTTGAATCTTTTTTTAGTTGTAGGGTGCAGGGCTCAACCCCGAGATAAGCTTGTGCTATACTGTTAACTAATTTCGTAGTCTTATAACGAAATATTAACATTCTCGGGGTAATGGGAAGTCCTTGTTTGCAATAGATTTTCCACGTCACTTTGTATTTTTGTCCATTTGTCAAACTAGTAACTAGTACTACTACTTCTTTCATTCTTCTACATTTTTACTTGAGCTACAACGCTTCCAGAGAAAACCAACAGTCCGTTTGGACAGTAGACTACCACTAATAACTTAAATTTTTGGTGGGATGGGGTGGGAAATTAATAGTTTAAATTTTGTTTCTTATCGTTTCGTCACTATATGGTTCCCTAAATCATAGTAGCTTCTCTAAATTTATATGGGTGTATAGTGTATGTGCTTGGTCCGATAATGGTTCAATTCCCGTTGGTTTTCTAATAAGGTTAGTTAAACATCTTCTATAATAGGTTAGAGTAGGAGTATTTTAAAATAGGTTATAGTAGGAATAGGAGTAGAGTAGATTATGATAATTGATAATAAAAAAAACACCACTAAAGTAATCTGCATGTAAGATACATCAACAATCAAAATATCTAATTGATTAACTTATCAAATCAACATCTTTTAAATAATTGCAATAGTTTGGGAAGGGTAAGCATCAAGTCAAGTCAGCTTTTGAAGTCTTTTAGTGGTAGATTGCTTTTTCTTGGAATGTTTTTAGGGATAATTTCAGAAACCTCTCTTGAGGTCGGAGGTTTCTGACAATTTCACTGAGCTCCTTTGAAATTTATCATATTATACTTACCCCTCTTGATGATAGACAATGACTATAATAACCTTTATAATTTTTCAAAAAACAAGCTATTGACAAAAAAAAAGGAAAAAGATAACAGAAGCAAGGAAAATGAAAAAAAAAAAGAAAACAATTCTTTTTTATCAGACCATATATTATGGCCACACTATTTCAGCCATGGCTATTAAATTGTAATCTTCTATCATTCAAATATGCTAATTAAGGTATCACTCAAATATGCTACTACTTTTGATGATGATGGAAGCAATCATCTTTACCAACAACCCAAATGTTGAGAGTAGAGGTTAGAAGAATTTTGGTAACTGAGGGCTTAACTGTTTGAGTGGAGAAAAGGTAAGGATTGTAAGTTTTATAACAAACAGTTTGGTAGGCAATATATGGAAAAAAAAACTTACAAAGATGTACAGATTGTGAAGGTAAGAATTACGACGGTGGATTTTGGCATCTAAGACAGAGAGTTTGTTCAAAAGAGGAAGAAGTGATAAGAGTTTGGAAATTTGGATGGATGCAAAAAATCATAGGGATGGAAAATATCAAAATATTGGCTAAATAATAAAACTCATAATTTTGGTAGTATACAAGTGTATTCTTTGACTTTTAAAAAATTTTAATGATTATTTATATTAAGGAAATTTAGATGAGGGCAATTTTGGGCATTCATATACTTTTTTCGGTCTCACATCATCAAAGTGAAACACAAACCTATGTTCTATGAGAGATATGTGTAATTTGGACGATTACCCACTTCAGTCCCTTAACTTCAAAATGGGACACTTAAATCCCTAAACTTATGAATTGCTCCCAGTTAAGGAAAATTGTTGACAGAATCCTGATTGCCGTTGGTGGTCGAAGTGCGTGGCAAACACTCTCCGTTAATGAAGATGGGGGAATATTGTTACTGAAAATGATAAGGACATAAACGTAAATTTGGGTCGTAAATTAAGGACAAACAAAGACAAATTCCAGAGAAGGGAAAGTGCGAAACAGTCAGAGAGTGGTCGTTTCTTTCCTCTGTCTTGGATGAAAAAATAGAGAGGAGGGGTAAAACCAAAGTGTGTAAAAATCCGAATGATTGTTGCTGAAAAACACTGAAGATTGCAAGAATGGGAAGAAAGCGAGTCAATGTGAGAGAAAAAGCGTCCGCGTCCGCAGCGAAACAATGGAAAGCAAAAGAGAAGACAAGTACTGGTATGAGAAAAATATTTTAGAGTTTTTTGTGTACTTTAATTGAATTTAATAATTGGAATTTGGGTAAGAATTTACGGTAGCAGTAGAAAAACGTTTTAAAGCCATAAGGATTGTTGAAAAGTTAGGGTTTTGGATGGTTGTGGAATGCATGTCCAAGGCATTATATATTTTTGATGGTACTGTTAGTGGGTCTGCATATTTTACTGAAAAGTGAGTGTTGTGGGAACCCTAATGTTCCTTCTGTTGAAGACATTGTGGTCCCAAATGCTAAAAATGTTGTTAATAATTAATGGGTTAATTATTAAAGATTTATTTTTTTATTTAACCAGAGTGTGGTCCAAATGACATTTTGCCCAACTCATTTTCCTTGGCGATACACCATCAGGGTGAGTTCAGAAGCTCTCCCAGCAAAGAATACGTGGGAGGAAGGGTAGACTATATAGACAACTGTAATGCTGAAAAATGGTCACTACAAGTGCTTGATGAATGTGCAGTAAGACTAGGATACCCGAAAGATGCTCGTTTTGGGTGGTATGGTAGGATTCCTGGTATGCCGCTTGAGACTGGACTATATTTTTGCATGTGTGATTGGGATTGTGATCTTCTAGTAAACACATTGCCACTGAATAGAGTGGCAGAGGTTTATCTACAAGTTGGCACTGATGATAATCCAGTGAGGTTTCAAACTCAAAAAACAGAGTATGTAGACATGCCTGAAGGCCACAAAACTTCTGCTAAGCAGGATACAAAAGATAAAGAAACATCTGAAATGGACAGTGACATAGCAATACTGGAAGAAGTTGACTTCAATGATATGGACAACAGAAGGAAAAATGTGGCTGATGACAACAGTAATGAAGTTGCTACAAACAGTCATGAGAATTTTGATTCCAAAAGTCCTAATTTGCAACAAGAAGAGGACAACAAGAGAGATAATGCAGGGAAAGAAGCACAAATGGCAACTGATAATGATATCCAAGCTGATGAGACTGATGTGCAGGCTGATAATAATGTGCAGGCTAATGATGATATGCAGGCTGACGACAAGTTCGATGATCCAGATTATACGGGGCAAGTTGGGGAGGATGTTTTATTTGATGAAGCCTTAAAGATTGGACAACAATTTGGCGTGCATAAAGGAGCTCCTGAAGTTGGACCTTCTACCAGCAAAGACAGAAGAAAGAAGAGAGCAAGTAGGGAAGGAGAAGCTGTTGACGAAGTAAATATTTGTGATGAGCCTGACATGGTTAATGTGGAGGATATGCAGTCAGAATATGAAACAGATTGTTCTAGAGAGTTGAAGAGTGAGAGTGAATCCGAAGACGAAGATGGTCGTAAGAGAAATAAGAAGCCTAAATTTTCAGTTTTTAATGAGAAAACTGAAATGAGAAGTCCAAGATTTAAGGTAGGCCAGAGGTTTTCATCAGTTGTTATTTTTAGGTTGGCTGTTAGAATCCAGGCTATTATGGAGGGAAGGGATGTCCAATTCATAAAAAATGACACATATAGGGTACGGGTGAAATGCAGAGGCTGTGAATGGCAAATTTTTGGCTCAAAAATGCAAGGTGAAAACACTTTCCAGATCAAGACACTTAGCAAGGAGCACACCTGTGGACGTGTCTTCCATAATAGAAACATGACATCAAAACTAGCTACCAGGTTGTTTGTAGATGAGGTGAGAAAAACACCATCCATGACAGTCCAGGAGCTCATGACTAGGGTGACTGAAGAATTAAATGTAGATTTCAGTCTTAAACAAGGCTATAGGACAATGAAAAAAGTAAGAGACATAATTGAAGGCAGTCATGAAAAACAGTATGCATTGTTAGAGGACTTCTGTGGTGAATTGAGGAGAGCAAATCCTGGATCGACAGTGTTCGTTGAGACGGATGAGGATGAGGATGGGATTGTCAGATTCAAAAGGCTTTACATGTGCTTAGAGCCATTGAAGAGAGGATTTCTAAAGGGCTGTAGGCATTGGATTGGGTTGGATGGGTGCTTCTTAAAGGATACATATGGTGGACAACTACTTACAGCCGTGGGTATGGATGGGGATAATAAAATGTTTCCACTAGCTTTGTCAGTTGTTATAGTGGAAAATTATGACAATTGGAGCTGGTTTTTGGGATTGCTTGTACAAGATTTGGAAATATCAGATTCCAGTAATTGGTGTGTCATGACTGACAAGCAAAAGGTATGATAAATTGTATTAGCACTTATTTATACAGCAACTTTTTATTTAATAACTCAGGTACAACTTTTTATTTAAGCCAAGTTGTATTCAAACGTGTACAGGGACTAGTTCAGGCAGTTAGAGACAAAATGCCACAAGCTGAGCACAGGTGTTGTGTGCAACATCTATACACCAATTTCAAACAGATTCATAGAGGCCTGGCCTTAAAAGAAAGACTTTGGAAATGCGCAAAAGCTTCTTATGTTACCCACTGGAAAGTCGAAATGGAACAGTTGGGGCAAGAATCTGCAGCTGCGCATTCTTGGCTTGATGAAAAAGATCCCAAAACTTGGTGTAGAGCCCATTTTAGATGTGGATTGGATTGTGATATTTTGGTGAATAATATGTGTGAGTCCTTTAATGCAGTAATTTTAAAGGCCAGGTCACTACCAATCATATCCATGCTGCAGACCATTTATTTGTACCTGCTGAAGAGGATGGAGAGGAACAGGGAAGCAATGTCCAAGCACGAAGGTTAAGACACATTTTATTTATTTACTAGTATTAAGGTCAGTTCATAATTTCTTTGAGAAATTTATGACCAATTTATTGTTTTCATTTTGTATTCAGGTCTTCTTTGTCCAGCAATATTTGAGATATTGGAAAAGGCTAAGCAAGAGCAGTGTATGTGCATAGCGTCATATGCTGGGACAATGAAGTATCAGATAAGCTGTCCATTTGGGGAGCAGTATATTGTTGACATGGCTGCCAAAACCTGTTCATGTAGAAAGTGGCAATTAAGGGGAATACCATGTGGCCATGCTGTAGCTGCCATCAACAGGAGACATGAAGCACCAGAGAAGCATGTTTCCAACACCTACTTGAAGATCACGTATCTACAAAGTTATGAACCTGTACTTAATCCAATCAATGGTCCTAATTTGTGGGAGCACATAGACCTTCCAGCAATGAAGCCTCCGACTTATAGAAGATTTGCTGGAAGGCCAAAGAAAATGAGAAAAAAGGCTTCAGAAGAAGACAGACGGGACAGCTGTGTCAATCCAACTAAACCTCACAAGGTTAGCAAGGTTGGCACCATGATGAGCTGCAGCCGCTGCAAAAAATACGGACATAACAAAAGAGGATGTCCGGATAAAAATAAGCAAACCACTGAGGGGACAACTACAAGTTCAGCAAAGGAGAACAGTGATATTGGAGATACAGGCCCATCTATGCAGCCAAGTACTAACGAGGCTTGTCCAAGTGATGTGACCGTTGACATACTTGGAGTAAGTACGCAACAGAGTCACACAGGTCCATCTCAAAATTTGGATGCCAATCAGCCAAAACAAGGGGCACAAGAACCAGTGACAAAGAAAGGAAGAAAATGCTCATTTTGTCGTAAGCATGGTCACTCAAAGAATAGTTGTAAGTTGAGGCAATGGACCTTTAGGAGCTCACTGGACATGACTGGAGACTTGGGATTCAAAACTGTAAAAATACGGTCTGATGATCTGGAAAACCCATATAATCATGCTCAAAATAGTTCTGGGCATGTGGAAAAGAGTCCTACAACAACTCATGTAAGTGGTCTCCATACATCAGGTCTTTATTTATGGGTGTCATGTCTTATTGATTCATGTTATGTGCTTGTTTGCAGTTAAGCTCCAAAGCTGATGGTCGCAAACTTTATTCCCACAGCCACGGAGTAACGATGAGAGCACCACACTCATACGTGGACTTGGGGACAGCCTCTCATTCCAGCAGTGGACTTAAGCCAGCACAATTCACATGGCAAGGCAATTTGTGTGTTAACCTGTCTACATTACAGACAGCTGCGGGACATGCGAAGGAGTCACTTGGAATTGAAAATGTGCAGCTCCATGGGGATGGAAACCAATCTGTTAAGTTGGGAAAATTGCAGCAATAGGCCAAATAGCCTTCAAGCATGAACTAACTGATGCTGGACAAACCAACTCAAGAATTGTACAGGCATATAGCCTTTTTTATTTTGCAGATACAATCAAATTGGGCAGTAAAAGCCTCTGTTTTGCTAGTCCAGATGTGGCGAACTTTTGTTCAACTCATATAGTCCATTGGAACTAAGAATTTTTTTGTTAATATGGAATTTTTGTTAGCCTCTGTTTTTGGTAGCCTCTGTTGTGGAACTCATATAGCCTTTGTCTTGCTAGTCCAGATGGGTGAAATTTAGAGGCTGTTAATGTGGAATTTTTGTCATTCCTGGTATTGCTATTATGTATTGGATGATTTGTTGAATGATCAAAGGTTTTTGCTGAAAATTTTATGTTCTGAGTTGATTGCTGTTGTTAATGTGACATAGATTACTTGCAATAAACTTTACAAATTGGGACACTAAAATCCCTAAACAACAAATTCTGATTACATAGCAGGTCCAACGTTCACAATTATGGGACATAGCAGGTCCACTATATCCCTAAATTTGATACAATACATTTAAAACCCATCTACCACCACTCAGGTCATTTCACAAATACATTCATCAGACAAAGCTTTCACCAGTCACAAAAATTCAAAACAATGTGGTACATGTTCACAAGCAAGATGGTTAAAATTCCGACTGTATAATAACGCTGAAACCCGCAAGCGGGATTCTGTGTTTTTCCTACTTCAACGTTACCTCGCATGCGGGTTAATGTTATATTTTATGGCGAGAAGAAAAAATTGGTAATTAGGATAAAAATATGGATAAAAATAATTGGATAACGCAACCGACCCAATTAACCCATCTACCACCACTCAGGTCATTTCACAAATACATTCATCAGACAAAGCTTTCGTCCTGTCACAAAAATTCAAAGCAATGTGGTACATGTTCACAAGCAAGCAGGTTAAAATCCCGCCTGCATAATAACGCTGAAACCCGCAAGCGGGTTTCTGTCTTTTTACTATTTCATTGTTACCTCGCATGCGGGTTAATATTATATTTGATAGCGAGAAGAAAAAATTGGTAATTAGGCTTTTTGGGCATTATAAGTCAATATTTAAATTAATGACAGTTAAAAAAAAGGGTTGTATAAATTGGCAGTTAAGTTTTCAAAATTAATTTAGACGAATTTGTAAAAAGTTAGAATAAATAGGTTGTAAACGAGCAATTGGGTTGTCAAACTCGTTTTTTGACATTTCTATTGAACTACATTTACCCATACCGGCCATGAATAGATGGGTATGCGAATCTTAAAATTTTACTTATGGATATAAATAATTGGGTAACGCGACCGACCCAATTAACCCATCTACCACCACTCAGGTCATTTCACAAATACATTCATCAGACAAAGCTTTCACCTGTCACAAAAATTCAAAGCAATGTAGCACATGTTCACAAGCAAGATGGTTAACATCCCGACAGCATAAAACGCTGAAACCCGCAAGCGGGATTCTGAAAGTGCTGGTAATTACATAGTCAGCAAAAGCAAGAATTTCCTTCCTGCACCACTCAAAAGGTCCACTACTTAGCAATGACAGACAAAGGTGGTCCCATATTTGAGCAAACAAAACGGGCAGTCCGGCATAAGCGGTTGCTTCTTCTACAACTCATTTTGGACCTTCTCCCCCAGATTTGAACAAAAACAACCACATGACAATGGCAACCCAGTGGATAATCAAGTACATCCTTAGCTTCCTTACTTTCGATTGTTGGCACCTTGAATTTTCTTTCAACCTATCCAACTCAGCTTCCATCTTGTTCATCGACCTTAGCAGTCCAGGTATTATTTCTTTTGACCTTTGACACATCTCAGGATCAACCCAATCCCAGTATATGCAGCCTCCTTGTTCCTAGTTTGACAAGAACATTATGTTTGCAGACAAGATTAGGTGGCTGCAATTCATACAAACCCAAAATAAAAAACAAGTATAAACACAAAACCCTAATTTCCCTTACTCTGTACTTGGCACATCGACAAAACCTTCTTCCTGGGTTCATGGCAGTCCATGATGTCATCATCAATGTTTGCTTTCCACAATCACAAAATTGCCTCACCATTTCTCTTTGTTTGTTGAACCATGCGTTGGGTTCTCCTTTTCTTCTTCCTGCCCTGTGGATAGCAGAATGACAGCTTGGGTCTCTCAGCATACCGACCTGAAGTGCCCTTTTATGATTTGGATCGGGTCTACATTATCCATCTGAAGTGGGTAGCATGGAGGGAAACTTTCCCTCCATATTTCACCATTTTTTTTTAATCTATATATGTGATTTTTTGTGAATTTTCATTGTTGCCCTCAGTCAAAGGACAGTGTTTGCCACGCACTTTGACCACCAACGGCAATCAGGATTCTGTCAACAATTTTCCTTAACTGGGAGCAATTCATAAGTTTAGGGATTTAAGTGTCCCATTTTGAAGTTAAGGGACTGAAGTGGGTAATCGCCCAAAGTTTGAGGGGACAAAGTGGAATTAACCCTTTTTAAAACACGAGGGGAGCTGTCTGAAATTACTAGAAACCTCAAGGGAAATTTCTGAAATTATCCCATATTTTTTTATGTCAATAACTCTTTTCCATTAGGCATGCAAATCACAAATTTCAACGAGAAGGAATTCCAAATCAAGTGCTGGCATACTTTCTTTAATTCTACAAATTTGGCCATGTGATTCATAATGAACCGCAATTTCCTTGAAACGGTTCCTAATGCCATTAATGGATTATACAAGTGATTAACTGAACAGGGAAATAACTGTACACATGAATTCGACATTTTGATCAGAGCATGCAACACCTCATCAAACTTAGGACACAAGTTGTGGAAAAGCGTTACCGTTGGGGGGCATATTTATTATTATTTTCTCCTGCCCTTCATTCCACTCCCTTTAAGCAAAACAAAAAAGGTCCCGAATTTTCATTATTTCATTATTCCATTTCCATTTCCTCCTTTAAATGAGTATTGACCCAAAGCCAAAACAAACAACAGAAACCGGGAAGGCCAAAGGTCGCCCAACCAGACAAGAAGAGACAAGGACATTCCTGGCATTTTAAATCAAAAAAAGATGAGAAGAAGAGCACAAACAAAAGCCATCTACTCCATATTTCCAGCTGTTCTCCAAATAAGACGATCCATTGTCATCCTCAAGTTTCTATTCTACCCTGTTAGATACCCCACATGCCAGCGGCCAGCCAAATCCCAAAATTCCATTTCCAGACTAACCGAGGTTAACTTACCAAACCAATCTTCATCACTTTAATCCACTGAAAGAATTGCATTTTAAGTCTCTCAAGTTCTCAAATACTAATTGTTATTATTCTCATTCTAATACACTATATGCTTAATTACATTTGGCACGTCGTGTTTGCCTACCTAATAAAATCTAGACAAACCTATTCTTCTAGGATTTCAAGAATTATAATTTGGGTACATTACCTTAAAGTGAAATACACAAAATATATAAGTACATTATAGAAGTAGCTTACTAAGAATTTGGGATTTTAAAAGTAGAATTAATCCAAGTATGAATTTGGGATTTTATCAAATGATATGATGACACGCACGCGCTTATATTCTCTTAATGAAGACAAAATTACAAAAAATATTAGTACATATAAGGAACGTAAAACTGTAACTAACCTATAAAATTCAACCCATTTAGTTAACTTGTAGTATCGATTAATTCAACAGCTGATATTAAATTTATTAAACAAATTATAAACTGAACCACAGTTTATCACAATTTTTTTTTCTTCTTTCAGGGGATTTTTTCGACTAAGGATGACTTCAAATATAAACTAGTCTATATAGTCCGTTTGGATTAGTTGTTTTTGGGATTGTTTTTCAAAAACAGCACTGTAGCATTTCGTTTTTCAAATATAAGTCCGTTTGGATTAGTTGTTTTTGGGGTTGTTTTTCAAAAATTATATAAAAAACTTTTACTGTAGATGTTTTATGGATTATTTTTAGATGTATTTTTAAAACATATTTTCGAGTATTTTTATAATTTATAATTTTTATATTTTTATAACAATATACAATTATACATTTGTAAATATTTATAAATAAATATATTTATAAATGTGTATAAATTATAAATTAATATTATATAAATGTATAAATTAATATATTATTAATAGATATTAATATTATGTATAAATGTATTAATGTAATAAATATAAATGTATAAATTTATTAATATTATGTATAAATGTATAATTAATATTATGTATATTAATATAAATGTATAAATGTATTATATTATATATAATACATAATATAAATGTATATTATAAATATACATAAATATATATATATTATGTTTAAATGTACATTTATATAAATGTTCAATATATATAATATATATTATGTATATATTAAATATATATAATATATAACATTTATATAAATGTATAATAACATATTTATAATATATATAATATATATAATATATTAATATTTATATAAATATATAAAAATATATTTTATATAAAATAAAATATTTATAATATGTATAAATAAATATATTTAAATTAATATAATATATATATCCTATACATAATTGAAATATACAAATTGAAATAAACATATTAAATATGTATTTGGAGTTGTTTTTGATATATTGTTTGGATATGGTGTTTTTGGAGTTGTTTTTGAAATACACATTTACTGTAGCACTTGGATTGTGAAAAACAGTTTTTCAAAATCAGGCCCAAAAACAAGAATCCAAACGGAGCCGTATTTTCAAATACGAGAGACTAAATAAGAGAATAATACTTAATATAAGGACTAAAATTTTAAAATTGCCTCTAAATCGATCCTAGTTAGTTAACCTAACCTCGGTTAATTCTCGCTCATGAGTATTTCAGTGGTATTTCTTCCTCCTAATCTCCCCTTCCTTTTCTGTTAGCCGTTTCACTGATACTTTCCCCTTCACTTTCACTTCGCACTTCTCCCACTGCTCTGTCTCTCTGCTCAGCAATAGCAATGGGGGTTTTTCTACGCCTCTTCCTCTTCTCTCTCTTCTTCACATCCATCTACGCCCACAACATTACCGAAATCCTATCCGCATTTCCGGAATACAGCGAGTACAACAAGTTCCTCACCGACACAAAACTCGCCGACGAAATCAACAGTCGCGAGACCATCACTGTCCTCGTCTTAACCAACTCCGCCATGGATTCCCTCGCTGCCAAGCATCCCCTTTCCGTTGTCAAAAAAGCCTTGTCCCTCCACGTCGTCCTCGACTACTACGACGCCGGCAAGCTCCACGACATCTCTAACGGCACCACTCTCTCCACCACATTGTACCAAACCACCGGAAATGCCCCTGGAAATCAGGGTTTCGTCAACATCACTGACCTCAAAGGTGGAAAAGTCGGCTTCGGCTCCGCTGTTCCTGGCTCCAAGCTTGACTCCACTTATACTAAATCCGTTAAGCAGATTCCTTACAATATTTCTGTCATTGAGATCAGCGCGCCGATTATTGCCCCCGGGGTTTTAACTGCTCCAGCGCCGTCTGCTTCCGACGCCAACATTACTGCTTTGCTGGAAAAAGCTGGCTGCAAGACTTTTGCTAATTTGATTGTCCAGACTGGCGTTCTTAAGACTTATCAGGCGGCGGCTGGTAAAGGATTGACGATTTTTGCGCCGTCTGATGAGGCCTTCAAGGCGGCGAAACTGCCAGATCTGAGCAAACTCACTAGCGCTGAGCTGGATTCCTTGTGTCTTTATCATGCTCTCGGGAGTTACGATCCCACTGGGTCATTGAAGGCTCAGAAGGGTTCGTTACCGACATTGGCGACGAACGGAGCTTTCAAGTATGAATTGAGCGTTTCGAGTGCAGGTGACACGGTAACCCTCGACACGGGAGTGGACTCATCGCGACTCGCTTCCACTGTGCTTGATACGCCTCCGGTCTGCATTTTCACCGTTGACAGTTTGCTTCTTCCGTCGGAGCTTTTCGGAAAGTCTCCTTCTCCGGCTCCTGGACCTGCACCGGAGACCTCTCCTTCCCCGGCGCCTCTGGCTCATAGTCCTGCTCCTCTAGCTCCTTCGCCTCTTCTGTCTCCTCCTGCCCCGCCGACGTCTTCGCCGGAGCGTTCTCCGTCCAAAGCTCCTACCGCCGACTCTCAGAACAGCACCGCCGACAAAAACGATGCATACGTCGGAGTTCCAGCATTTTTTACTGGTCTAGTCTCAGTGTCAGTTTCGTTAATTGTTTCCACTCTTATGTCCTAAAGTCGTGATTTTGTTGTGTTTGCTTAATTTATTTCGTGACCGTTGGTTTTCCACTTTTTATTTTATTTTTGGCTGGAGTCATGTATTTTTATTAGTGACAGCTTTTTAGAGAGGATTTTCATTTTAATTTTGATTTATGTTCTCAATTTATCGGGGAGATGATGAATTTGACATTTAGTGTGAATTTTTACCTTGCACACATCCTTCTCAATGTTATTGGTCTTATCGTGCATTATTGGATTTTATGTACGAATTTAGATGGAAGGGATGTCAATGAAGGGACGTTAATTTAGGTCCCGCTTGGAACTATGGATTACTACTATCTTTTAAAATTTTTTATATTAAAAAAAAAGTATAATGATGTATTTGACATGAAAAGGTAATTAAAAATATATATTTAAAAAATTATAAAATTTTTTTTGTTGGAGGCCTAATGTTTTCTAATTCGGGATAATTTCAAAAATCTCCCTTAATATTATCTTGTAACATTTAAATTCGGTAATTAAAATGTGATATTAGGGGAGATCTCATCTACTACATTATTTTGTTACTTTAATACCAATCCACATATTAAAAAAAATTAGAATTTGCTGATTATCATTAAAGATCCAATTACATATAGCATATAAAATAGCATATCATTTTATATTTTTCACATAATATAAGATCTAAATTATTCTTTGTAGTATATATCCAATGTCAAATATGATCAGCAAAAAATAATCAAAAAATTTGCAACCAAACTATTATAGAGAGCAAACTTTAACATCATAAATATTTTTGTCAACATATTAATATTAGTTGCTAATATCTTTATAGTATTAAAGTTCATTTTTTGTAATGTTTTAGTTATAGATTTTTGTTGATTATTTGTTGTTGATTATGTTTGAAAATACATTTGTAATTGGAAAGAGTAATTTGAATATTATATTAAGCGAAATATATAATATAATATACTATTTTTGATATCATACGTGATTTGATCCCTAATGATAAATAGCAAATTATAGTATTTTCTTTACTATTTAAATTGGTATTAGATTAACTAAATAATATAGTAGATTAAGGGTAATGGTGAAATCATATTGTTTTCTCTCTATGCTAATATTACTTTTTAATTGTTTGTTAGATATAGATGTTACAAGATAATGAATTTTACAGAAGGTTAGTGTAATTTTCAAAATCTAAAGAGGTACCAGTGAAATAGTTAGAAACATTAGGGGAGGTTTCTGAAATTAACCCTTCTACTTCTGACCCTAACTTCTGAAGTTTCCGGTAAACAGTAATTCTCATACTACATAAATTTTGATGCGACATGGGATTCTTCGATGGTGGTGCAATGAAAGGGTGTGGGAGTGCGTGTTTGGGCAGAGAGGCACGTGAAGAAAGAATTGCCCCCAAATAAATAAATAAAAAAAAGGAGAGGTGGGGTCCCACGTCTTTGATGAATGATCAATGATGTGTATTTGTTGCCGTTGGTGATCTCTCAATCAGAATCAGATGGACAATAATGATGGATGGTGCTTCCAGAACACAGGATCCGGTCCCTCCCCCCATTGGATAGATATGATATGATATGGAGTTGTTGTTTGGTCACCCTTTTTTGTCTGTGCGGCGAATGGGAATGGGTTTCTTTCTTTCTCGTCCTCTTTTAACGGGCGTGGAAACTGGGAATGCTGCTTTTTCCAGGCGAAACTGAACGAAAGTTCTAAAGATAACGCTTTTATCTTTGTAACGGTTAGTTTAAATTTTGTAAGCATAATATTTGGATTGCATTATTGACTCTCTATCACGTCTTTGACTAATTTTACTTGAAACTGCATTCCTTTTTCAGTTTAGTTAGCTCAAGTAACTGATGATGCTTTTGCTCGGTTCATTAAGCTGTGGCCTAGAGAGTCCTGGGACCACCGATACATTGAGGATTGGTTGGCTGGCTGGGTCCCTTTCTCTACTATTGTTCTCCAGTGGCAATTCTACCTGTATAAAATTTACAGCCAACGCATGCTAGCTGGCTTAATTGGCCCATTCCCCCTAGAAAGCTCACGAGCTTATATAATGAAATCCCATGCCGATCGATAGCTTGTAAATATCACAACAGTACTTGTGATTATATACATACATATATATATATCGATAATATTTCAACATTAATAGTTACACCATCAATAAGAATCACGCAGGAACTAATAGCTGTTGGCCACTACTAAAGATTTTAAATCTTTGTGGGATGGAAGGTTAAAGGTTCAACCTTACCTTCTATCAATGTGTCACTATATTATACGTGAGTTCTTTTAAATTCATATGGATGAGTAGTGCACATAAAATGATTTGATGGTGGTTCAATCTCCGTCGATTTTTTTAAGTCTCGTTGGGACTCTCCCTCCTTAATGTAGGCTAGAGTAGGAGTAGGTTATATTAACTGTTGCCGTCTGATAAAAAATATATATAGGAATCACGCAAGAACTTGTGGTTTTCAGAATCTGTCCTGAAGTACTGTGAAAGTATTTAAATATCGATAATGGAGGAAAGCTATGTGAATTAGGATCAAAATGTGTTGCACTGAGTGAGAATTATCAGAAGATTGAAATAGGTATAGTACAATCCTTTACACTGCTACTAAGTACTTAACTTCAAAGCTTTAAACAGTCTTTGTCTATTTACGAAAAATGGATGGTGGGATTAGGTGGAACGTTCTTTGTGGCAAATGTACTTGGGTCATGCTGCTTGTCAATGGCAGTAGCTGAGCCAAGAGTGATGACAAATGTGTCTTTACAAGTTGACTAACAATTGCTCTACTAAACTTTCATCATAGCGACCCTATATATGTTTAAACCATCTGGCATCTGTTGGAACTTCGAGGGCCGAGGAATCAGAATTACTTTGCCTGTCATGCTGTAACACCTAGTTTTTCCTTAGAAAGACCAGTTTTCGACTATAATGTTACAGTAAAATATAAATAAAAATAATTAAAAAATATCTTATTTATATATTATATCAAATATTTCAAAAAATCCTATAGTAAAAGTTTTTTTTATATATATTACTACAGTAAAATATTTTAAAAATATCCAAAAAAACAGCTAATCCAAACAGAGAAGAGATTGGTCTATTTTTTAAAGATAAATTTTTCAACTACAATGCAACAGTAATACACAAATAAAAATAATTAAAAAAAATCTCATTCATACATCATATCAAATATTTCAAAAAGCTCTATAGTAAAAGTTTTTCATATACATTGCTACAGTAAAAAATTTCAAAAATACTCTAAAAAACAGCTAATCCAAACGGAGCGCAGAATATGTATTATGTACTGGTAAGTTAAACCAATTCTTTATGACGTTTTGTTTGTGTACAGAGAGTAGAATTGTGCTACTCAGAACCAGAAGGTGACCTGCATCTCCAACGAAGGAGTAGGGAACAGCAGAAAAGAACATGACCCACGAATCAAAGCTGGATTAAATCATTAAAACTCCTTTGCGGGGGGTTTCACTATCATCAAACCGCAAGAGGCTGGAGTGGTTTCTGTCTTTGATCATTCGGTGGAAGGATGGTGGGCGATAATGCCAAATTGCCTTAGTTGGACGCTGCCTGGCAACAGCACTCTTTAATATTCCAGAATAAGTTGAGCATCTTCTTGGTTGGCTGTTGTATGCATGTATGATTCAAGTTCACGTGTAAAGAATCTGTCGACGTTGTCCCAATGATCAATATGGTCCGTTGCAGTCTCTGACCTGAAAAACATCATGGGATGTTGGTTACATTCTCAGAGTTAACAAGATTAAGACACCATGGATGGACTTTTGTAAGAATTCACTGTGCCTAGACTTGGCCCCCATATGATATTGCTCTATTATTCCCTTTTTTTGTGAATAATGCTAGAGTATCCAATGGGATAATAATCTTGGGCATCTTTCTCATGTGTTTCGCCATTCTTTTTTTTTTTCTTCTAATTTAGAAAATCAACAGTGATTCTCCATTTATTCTCCTTAATGACTAGAACCTATGATTCGTTGATAACAGGTAAAATATTTTACCAACCAAATTACGTTTCGTTGTCATGTGTTTCGCCATTCGGGTAACCACGACCATGAATTTAAGTCTAATATAGATACAAGCCATGATATATATATTTTTGAGTGGCTCCTAGTGGCGAATGTGAGGTGATGGTGGGCAAGCTGTTTCAGATTTCTTTAAATTCTTTTATTTTTGTTGAGATTAAAGTAAAGAATTTTAGTTATTCCACATATAAAAAAAAATTGGATTGTTGCCCCCACTATAGTTTTATGGAAAAAGAATAAATTAAGTTACCTCTAATAACGTCCAATAAATCATATCATCTTGCCTCCTCCCCAAATGCTTGCTGTGGTCCACCAGGACACTCACTCTTGTGGTCCTCAAAAAAAAAAAAAAAAGATTTTGAATGCAATGGATATACTTTAAAACGTTACACAATAACTTAACTTTTGTAAATTTGCTTTGTTGGGATGCTTTCAAATTGTTGGAAAGAAAAACCTCACAAAATAAACAACATCAGAAACTGAAACGCGAGCTCTTTCTCGCACATTTTTTTTATCAAAAAATTTCTACATTTTCTGTGAACATATTTTTTAATTATCTTTTTACCTCACATATATCAAATCACTACGATACATTTTCTACAAAAACTTCAGAAAATTGCAATCCAAACAGGCAGTAAAGAGTGGGTGAAAGTTGAGCTCTGACTGAAAAGAAATGTATTGTAGACCATCCGGATTGAGTTTCAGTGCAAAAATAGTGGTAAATTCATGATTTACCTCGTGCAATAGTGTCATCAATGCTCCTCTTCCTCCTCAATCTTGAAGGGGCCAACGGTATCATTTCTGCTCCCACCCCACCCACCCATCAAGTGGTTTGTGAATTATGACCGTTTGTTTGTCTATCTTCTGTGCATTTGCCAACTCAAGTAGGAATAAAAACCTTTCAATCAATAAAAGAAAGAAAAATGGAAAAAAGAAAAAAGATGACCTAAAAGAGAAATGAAACTGATTTGGGCTATGTTGCCGTTTAGGAAAAAAAAAAAAAAAAGAAACAGATTTGGGCTCTAGTAGGAAGGATGCAGAATACAGATGGGTGTTGAAATTAACTGGATCGAGGATCAACACTACCATTGTGGACTCTTACATTGACTACCAGCCTTCCACTTTTCCAAACCCAACTGATATCAAGTGGGCCGGCGTACTTGCATGGTTGTTGTGGCTATTTATAAGTACAGGGAGACGCACATTATAATTTACACCCGCATTTGAATGGTGACTTATATCGAACATTGGTACTAAAACTAGCTTTTAACTAGTAAATTGATTGCCGGAAAGTAGTGGAATTTAAAGCAAAAACAAGGTATACCAGCTGCTTGTATGCTTCAATGTTGTTCTAGTGATTAAAGATGAGTTAAGGCATTCGATTTACAATATCTAGAACAAAATCTCAATTCTCAAATGCCAAAATATTTCCAAAAAAAAGTGTTATATCGAACCTTTTTGCAACCCTAGTTGAAGATCTATATGATTTTTTTTTTTTGTAGTAAAAAATTTTGGAGTATTTGGCTCTAGTTACTATCACAAGTCAGACATGTTTTCAAAACTATAAATTGTTTGCAAAGATTCTTACAGATTGTCTACCAACACAACTCTAATATTGATAGCGGGATTCGAACATGCAATCTTTTGTGAGAAAGTGATCCGTCCTTACTAATCGAATCAACTTATGAGGAAGATGTGTATGATTGCAAAAGCGTAAAGATAGATCAAACCATTGCCGCCTGAAACGGACACTACATCCCACATTTGAGAGATTAGTGAAAACTTGAGAATTTGAGAGATAGAAAGGTTGAGAAATCAAAATTAGAAAAAGTTAAAAATACCTAAAACTAATAGGTGGTGTTCCGAGCATATGCTAGGTCAAGCGGGATGGGCTTCAACTGTTGTGATTCTTTGCTTGAATTTCGTCACGGGGCCGTGCAAATTCATTTTGTGAGATAGGTTTTTTTTCGAAGGATTTTGTGAGATAGGTTGAAACCACCAACAATAATAACTATACCTGACAATTGTGCGGGTTGGGCAGGTTAATATTGAATTTTCATTTAAATGGGTTATACCCAATCCGCCTAACTTAAATTTGGGTTAATTTTGGATTGGGTTATATTGGGTCATCACAAAACCATGACCCAAATATGACTCAATATATTAATTTAATAGATTTTGATACATAAACTCTCTCAAATACATTTTCACATACAACAAAAAAATTTCATACACATAAACATATTTTTATATAGATAGACATATTTTCACATACTAAAACACTCACGATACAAACGCACACTCACTTCTTAAATTCATTTGAAATACATTAGTGTGTTTGGATAGTAAATTATTGAGATAATTTTGTGAAAAAAATACTGTAACATTTTTTTGATGTGGTGTATGTGACATAGAAAGGTGATTGAAAAATGTGTAGATGATACAAGCAAATCAGTGTGTGTAAATAAGGTGTAAATAATATGCATTTCAAACACTATTTTTAAGCATACAAACACACTAAAATACATCCTAATATACTTTTACAAATACACACACATACTAACTGTTTAAACTCTAAAAAGGTTAGTGAAATTGTTAGAAATCTCATCTCAGGAGAGGTTTCTGGAATTACGCTATATAAAAACGATGGCAAATTGGACCAAAAGCAGCAGCATAGCCTGCTTCCATACATTGACCGCTTCCAAACTTTGAAAATTTGTTTCTTTTTTTCCCTTCTTTTTTAAGAATATACGGGACCAATTCCCCCGCAATGACAGTAGTACTTCGTAAAAACAGGAAACAAGTAGGCATTAATTAATTATTTGGCTACGAAATACTAAATTTAGCAACTAACAAACAAATAATAAGAAACTAGATTTAAATTCTACAGGTCGACAACTTCCTAATGACCTTCATTGAGCAAAAAAATTAATTTGTTTATTTTTTTTAACTTAAGTTGGGTAATGGGTGCCCAACACAAATACCCAAACCACCAAAAATATATGTGGGTTTTTATTACCCAACCCAAATTTGACCCAACACCCAATTTACCCAACCCAATCTCTCAAATTAGTGGGTGGATTGGATGGATTATTGGGTTTTTGGCATAATTGCCAACTCTAATAATAACACTGGTCGAAGATTGTTTCGACTCAATACTTGCCTAATTGTTCAAATTTCTTAATAAAATCATTGATAATACGAATCGAATCGTATTAGCAAACATTTGCCCGAATCCAAGTTATCACCCGTTTGTTTTTGATTAATTTGCTTTTGGAGCCCGGCAGCAAGAGAGAAGAGCTGAAGAGACGAAGAAGAAGAAGAGAAGAGGGTTTGGTTTTGTTTCCTATTTTTCCGGGATTTTTTTTTTGCCTTTTTTTTGCCTATTTAGTCGGTCAAATGGAAGACAGAAGTCAATAGTCAAGACTTTAAGTTTTAAAAAAAATATTTAGGAAAAAAAGGGGAAAGACAAAAATCGGGTTTAATACAATTAACTGATTCACCGGTCAGACCCGGGTTTTACCAAATTTATTACTCTCTAGCTTTTTAAGTTGGATCGAACCGATTATTTGACCGATTTTTTATTAGATCGGTTCGATCGACCAATCCGATTCAAGCCTGGAAACATAGACTATAACCCAAGACAAAAAAATTTATGTAGTTAGTCCAGTGGAATTTTTTTTTTTTTTTTTGTCGACACAGGGGTGTCCGGGTATGTAGTTAGTCCAGTGGATATGACTACACGTAAATTTTTAAAGTCAGTTAACATTTTTATTTCTAACGAAGCTTGGGCTAATTTCCTGATGTAGACAAAATTGAAAAAAAAAGTTTTGGTTGGGACTGGGAGGTTAAATTTTCTCTTTTACATACACACAAAAGCATTAAATTATAGTAATAATAATAAAAGAGTAAATGACAAAAGTGACCATTAAATTATCTAAAATGGTACAGTTTGGTCACTGAACTTTTTTTAATCAAAGAGATTGCTCAACTCTTTAGAACAGTCTTTTGGATCATTTTCTGCTAAATTAATCAAAAAATGACCTGCAATTTAGGACACTTTTGTCCTCGAAAACCTACAATAATAGATTAAATGTGCTTCTTTCAATTTGATTTACTGACTAAATTGAATAATATGATCCAAAAGGCCCATTTTAAGGAGTTAAATAACATTTCTGACAAGGAAAAAAGTTAAGTGACCAGATTGTGCCATTTTAGATAGTTTAGTAATGATTTTCGCCATTTGCTCATAATAAAAAGAGAAAAATTTCAGTGTTCAAATTGTGCTATTTCAGAGAGTTTAGTAGTCATCATTTTCTCTATTTGCTCAAAATAAAAAGAGAAAGAAAATAGGGCGAGGGTGAAAAGAAAGAAAGAAAGAAAACAACAGGCTTCCCAGCTTCCGACGTCGTTTGAGCCTAACATGTCCAGCCAAGGACTCGGAAGTCAAAAGGGTAAGTCAAAGACTGGAGGATGTGCTTCTAGTTCTAAGCCACCGTTGGTATTCTTCCCTAACTGCTAGTAAATTCTCAGACGCCGTAGACGACGATGGCGACCGAGGCTCCTTCCTCCACCTCTTCCACCGGCAAAGCCAATAATCCTTATCAACAGAAAAACCAACATCGTCAAGATGAGAAGTCGCATCGTTCAATCTTCGAACTTCCGGCGGATTTTTTTGACTCCTGCCGCTTCCTCCAATCTCCATCATCTTCAATAATAGTTCCCGCGGACGACGCCGCTCATGACGGTTTTTCCAGAAATCAAGAAGACGAATGTTTAGAAAGTAATATTAGTGAGAATACTAATGCAATTGGTGGTCGTGGTTCTATGGAGAGATGGAGTTGCAATACGTGTAAGGCCGAATTCGAGTCTCTTCAAGACCAGCGCTCTCACTTTAAATCCGACATTCATCGCCTCAATGTATATTTCTCCACTCTCTACCTTTGTTTATCTTCTTTGTTACTCGGGGTAAATTAATCAAACATAGGTTTTTTGTATTTTGGTGGTGTTATTGTCTTGCAACAAAATTGGGTATTTTCTTTCATAAGATACTATTTCGGCATTACCTCTTGTTATATTCTATTTTATTGGTTCCTGTAATTTAATCTATTTATGATTAATGTGGATTGTTCTGTTCTAAATTACTGTCAACCATTAGTTAATACTAAGTCCAGTTGATATTAGGAACTCGTCCTGACCCATTCTGGGGTTGATGGCATATTTCTCACTTGGAGTCATCGTAGTCATTCTAGAGCTGTGGTGGGTGGATCCTGGTGTGGTGTGGCATGGCTTGGGTGCAAAAGTTTCCTGCTTGGGGGGTTTGGTGGCGTATGATTATAGGTTTGGGGTTAGTTTAAATAAGTTTTGAATCAATATAAGTAGGCCAGCCCTTGGTGGCATCATTCACTTGCAGTTTACTGTAGTGTGACACGCTCTCACTTTTACATCCTAGATGGCAATAGTGTCAAATTTTAGAGAAGTTGATCCTGAGATCGAGACCTTGAGAGAAGGGTGTTTTTAATGTTTACAATTGAGGTCTTTCTCCATTCAGACAAGAAAATAAAAATTCTGATATCATCTTTTTTTCCTTGTATGATGATGCAATGAAAGATGTAGCTATTGAATTATTTGCTAACTGGACCTAAAGACGTAATCGCTGCAAAGTTGTTCTTTTGTGGAGTTAATAATATGGTCAAAGACATGCCTTGACTCTTTTTTTTTTTTTTTTTAACGTGTGGTTGGGATTCTTCTATAGTTTAGTTCTTATGCTATGTCTTTTTTGGTGCATGTTCTAGAAATGCTCCTCATTCTGTTTTGTATATTGCTGATGATATCAGATAAAATAAAGCAACTTGCTTTGCTCTCATTCTTGAATTTGTAACTTATAATTTCGTGGACAGTCACCTTACTTCTGAGCTGTTGGTGTCAGATAAAGTTAAGTATTGCTGGAAAAGGCACTGTGAAGGAGGAAGATTTCAATGAAACAACTTCTGACAGTTTATGCAAGGATTATGACGTTTCAAGTATTTCAGGATCATCAGAAGAAGATGAGCCAGAAACTGGTCGTAATATGGGTTTGCATGGTAGATTGGGGGGAGTTCTCAAGCATAAGTTGTTTTTACAATTGCAGAATGGAGAGAGAGTGTCATTTTGGAAATGTTTGCTATTGAACGAGTCTGAGAATATTGTGTTTGAGATTGACAAATCTATTGCTGCAGACTTTGGTGAATGTTTCTTGACAGAGAAGGAGGTGACTGAAAAACTAAAATATGTCATCCATGAGCCCAGGGATGCTACCCGATTAAGAGTGATGTTACTTGCAAGGGGTGGGCATTTTGCTGGCTGTGTCTTTGATGGGAACTCCATTGTTGCTCATAAAACTTTTCACAGGTTAGAAGCTTTTAATAAACTCCAGCTCTTTCTGAATTTAACTTTGCTCATCACGTTTCAAAATTACTGCTAGCTATACTTCCAAGTATACATGAAAACAGAAGAGGTGTGTGTTAACATGGAAATGAATGAAAAGAGATGTGATGCAATTATCTTAATTGTCTGAAATGGTATTGGAAAAGAAATCTAGCTATTGCTTTTAACAATAAATAGGACAAAATACCATATTCATGTTTTACTAGTTAAGTCTGCAAAACAGCTTTCATGTGCTCGATAAGTGACAAAAATAAAAGTGATGAGTAGACACCCATTTGCCAATATCATAAAATTTATGTGATTGGATTTTATAGAGACTTATTGAGCACTCAATGCCTAAATAATTTTTTCTCTTAGAAATGCTAGCTAATGGTACTTTTTTTGTTTTGACAAAATCAACGACTGTGGTTCCTTAACAGCTCTATTCTGGATGGAGGCTACTTATATAGTATTCAGTATAACTTTGTCAATTGATATTTGATGATTTCCGTGTAGACTTATGAATGAAGTTCCATCTAACTTGGCTATTTTATGAAGATATGTAGTGCGTGCCAAGTCTGGTAAACGGCAGTCATCAAAAGATGCAAGTGGCAAGACTGTCCATTCTGCTGGAGCTTCACTTCGCCGGTATAATGAGCTTGCACTAAAAAAGGTATAGATGGTTGAATTTTAAGATGAGTAAGATGTCATGTGCTATTCTATACACAGTTTGCTGGCCCACTGTTCTGATCTGTACCCAGTTCACTTGTCCAATGTTTTCTGTGTTTTTACCTTGGAATACAACGGTAGTGAATTTTAATTCTCTTATTCATATGATGTCCAGGAAATTCAAGAATTACTAGCAGCCTGGAAGCCTTATTTCTCTGTTTCATCTTGCGTTTTCCTTTATGCTCCTTCTAGCAACTATCAACTATTTTTTGATGGGGAAAGACCAAATTTCAACTGCCAGCATCATGTGATTCGAAATATTCCTTTGACTGTGCGGAGACCTACATTAAAAGAAGCTCGAAGGATATATAATTTGTTGACACAGGTTTCCTCTGAAAATGATGAGCAAATTAAGTCGTCTACTCCAACAAATACAAGGAAGGAAGCATATCTACCTGATAGTCTTGCAAGTGATGGCCAGGTGGAGTCTATGAAGATGGACACAGGAGAGAATTTGGATAATCAAGAAATTACTGATATTTGTGGGGTTATCAACAAACTTGAAAATGTGCATGCATCAAGCAGTCCTGAAAGTGAGAGTGAGATTGTTTGTGCATCCACACCTTTGCACGAAGCAGCCAAGACTGGGAATTCTCAAGAAGTCCTGGAACTTCTAGAACAGGGTTTGGATCCTTGTATTAAAGATGAGCTAGGTCGTACTCCCTATATGCTTGCTACTGAAAAGGAAGTCAGGAATACTTTTAGACGGTTCATGGCATTGAACCTTGATAAATGGGATTGGTATGTTGCTAAAGTTCCTAGTGCATTGACTAAAGAGATGGAGGAATCTCAAGCTATTAAGCAGGTGATGTGATTTTCCATTATCATGTTCGTACTTAAACTTTTTGTTTCAACAGTGTCAAGTTGTAAAGGTTTGAAATTCTGGCTTAAGTGAGTAACTTTTGGTCAAAATTGCTGAATAATTTATTGAGAGGTCACGCTCACTGAAGCAAAATGGTGTTTGATTGATCTAATAACACTGGAGCGTCTTCCTGTAGATTCCCTATTTCCTGCAAATTGCTACTCCTGAAATTTGATACACGCCAGTCTAGCTGCAGATGATGCTGCTTTGCCTCTTTTACTTTTATTAGATTAGAGTAGTGACACGACCTTTGGTGTCAGAGATGCTAGCAGAGACTTGCAAGAGTATCATGTCCAGAAAAAGTTATAACTCAAATTTCTCTGACGTTCTGCACAGGCTGAAAAAGATGCTAAGAGAAAAGCAAGGGCAAAAGAGTTGAAGAAATTACGTAAAGCAAGAGAAAAGAAGGCTCAGGTTCGTCTATTTTTCTTTTTGGTGACACTGATAATTTCTTGATATCATTAATAGCATTTAGTTTGCAGAATGGAAGATTGACCTCTTCTTTGTGGAACAAATTGTGCTTGCTGAATTGATCTTTCTATAAATTTTTCAGTTCAAATCTTAGACTAAGATAATTTATTCTCTCTTTATTACCTGTGAGACTCCGACCTAGACTTTTGTTTATGAGGTTCAGTCAATCTTTTCTGATATGTCATATATTTGTTATAAGCTGTTCTTTGACATTCTTTGTTATTCCCGAGGAATGTCACCAGTCTTTGGTTATAAAGTTTGTGTTATTGTCAATGTGTAACTATTGTGACTAAAATGCACAGGCTGAAGCTGCTCAATCCCAAAATGCTTCTCCCATGTTGCAGAATCATGGATCCGTTCCAATTTCCAGTTTCAAAGGACAGTTTGAATCTAGTAGTTTGTCTAAAGAGGTTATTCTCTGCCTCCTTTACAAATAACCTCCAACACCCTCCATCCCCAATAACACAAAGTAAAATAAAATAAAAACTAGTTTTCTTTTCTACGAAACAAAAATAGAAGTGGAAAAGAGAACTACAAATTAATCAGCTTGAAGTTTCATAAGCCATAATGTTATGTTTATGTTTTTTAATGTTAGTGCAAGATGGGGCCAGCCTGTGTCTATATTTCCCGTTGTTCACATCTTTTCTTCCCAAGTCCAGACTACTACCCTTCTGATATCCTACCCGTATTTTGAGCAGGAGCGTCTTAAAAGGGCTCAAGATGCAGAAAGGGAAAAGAGAGCTGCTGCTGCTGAGAGAAGAATAGCAGCAGCTGCAGCCCTCAGACCTCAAGGCACAGGATCAGTGGCTTCTAGTTCACAAATAAAAGTTACAGAAACTTCTGACACTCTGTGTTCATGCTGTCATGTTTCACTGGCTGGGATTGTTCCCTTTCACAGGTATAATTACAAGTACTGCAGCGCATCATGCATGCATGTGCATAAAGAAATCCTTGATGATGGATGAGCAGCCTAATCTTATTATTGATTATTTTTACTATACTTGTAGAAAGTTGAAGGAACTTCAATTCTTGTATTAATAATCGAATATGGCAATTGATAAAGTGAGCTTAGAAAATTTTTGTTCAGAAAATTCACCCCCACGCTCCCACCCCCCCCAAAAAAACCCCGGGAGAAAGTTCTGCTATTTGTGCAATAGCAGTGCCCTGTGAAGAATCTGTAATCCTTAAATGGAAACCCTGCCGAACCTTTACCTGGCGCTCAACTTGCTCTTTCTTTTTTTTTTTTTTGGTTTAAATCTGAAACAAAATTAATAATCGAGAAATTCTGGGCAAGCAAGTCGACAACTTTATATCTTGGAGAAATGACAAAAAAAACACTTAACCAGTTAGTTGTTGGGGTTTAAATTCACGACGATCCTTTTAGGAGATTGTTGCAGCTACTTTGAGTGATTTTTTATTTTTATTTTTTATCTTAGTTTGTCTATATACATCTCCCTTTTTTGGATTGATGGGTCAAAATTTGTTGGTACTATACGTTACTAACTATCTTGATGCAGAAGTAGTCAAATTCATGGGGGGCTTTCATTTTTCACTGGCAGAGAATCCATATGCAGAAAGGCAATGGAAGTGGGAAAAAAAAATAGAAGAAGAGATATTACAGGACGAATATATCCTCATTTTGGCAAAACAAGAAAAAATGACAAAGATAATGACCAAAACATATCAGGGCATGTTAGCCTCCTACGATATTATCCTTTTACTTCTTTTGAGGAAAAAAGAGATCTCTGTTCATCGTTTTGGTGCGTTACATGGAGGGCAGTTTCATTGATCATTAGCAGTAGGAGGTCCTGGAGAATGATGGGCTTTTGAAAATCATCGTTGACAAAAATTTAGAACTGAATAGCATTTGTTGAAACCAAATTTTAGTGATTCAGCAGCTAACATTCATTATATATTTATATAGTTTGTCGACGCGATAATTTCTATTTTACACATGCTCCTATTCTACACTAGGAGAAAGGGATAGATTCAAAAGGGTCAATGAAAATTTGACGGAGATTAAATCGTCATTAAATCAGACGGGTGCATAGTGAAATTTTCAAGAAGGCACTTTCGAAAATTTCTTGAACACGTTACCACACTATCTTTTTATGAATCACATCATAAAATGATAATTTGTTAAAGAAATGCAATCCGAATGATTAACGTCAGTCTCCAAACCAGTAAAAAGAAAGATTAACATTAGACTCCAAAGGCCATCCACATCCCCGTTTTGAAACGCCAAAACAAGAAAGCAAAACGGGATAGTATTAACTAGGGGTGGCAAAAGACTTAAAAACTGGAAAAATTGGAAAATTGGTTCATTGGGCAGTAATTCTTAAACACGCAATTACCTGTAGTAATTTAACCTCTATGCTCAATCCCTTATAAGTTCTCATCTCAAGTCACCCCAATCAATCTTTTTATTTCTTGTTCAATCCCGAATTTTGAAGATAATTTTTCAAATTCCAAATTGATTGCAAGACCGGGTAAGCGATCAACTCGTTACTGGACTGGAAAGGATCGATTAACAATTTACCTAAACCGACACGACCGGTTTAACCAGTAATAATAACGCAGAGGAAGGGAATTTGCCTTCATTATAAGCTTCAGAAAACTCTGGAGTCTGGACGCTATCTTAAGGCGGGCAAAAGAAACTGACCTGTACAATTGCAAATAAAAGCCAATGCTCTTGGCAACAGCTAAAACAAAAACTAAAGACTGTGGCAGCAACTAACGATTTTTATCAGCAAACTAGAAAACGACTTCTGATGTCTGTGCATTTCCTTATACTATATAAGAATGAGTTGTGGTCAAAGAGAGTTTGAATTTCAATTGTGTGGATAAGGGTTTTTGGAAATATGGAATGTTATGTAGTTTTTTAAAAAGTTTTTGGTATAACTGAGGGAAGCATGTGTTTAGATATATTTATCAAAATACCCTCATTTTGATACATGTAAAACTTTGATTTATGAAGACATCTGGATATTTTTGGAATATGAAATTATTTTGTAACCGTTTTTGCATCAAGTACAACTCATATAAGCTTATGTATTGGTATAATTACTGAAATGTGTGATAGACACATTTAATTGAAGTGTGTCTTTTGTTGTACAATTAACACAGAGACATATTAACACGTTGTGCAATTAACAAGTTACTACAACTAGTCGTTGGAGGATATTCCTTTGTTTGAAAACAACTTATATCTGCTCTTAAATGATTTTCAACTGACATCTGTAGGGATTTTTTGGGAATGATAAAATTGTAAAAGTATTGATAAAGTAAAGTATACAAGTGTGTGCTATAATTAGCATGTACTATTATTAGTCTTGTCATATTTGATGACTATTTCTTTCTAGAATGTATTATTATTTATTCAATGAAAAATCCTCTCTAATTACACGCACCAAACAAGATAGTTTCTACCTATTGTTACTATCAAGCTAGTTTCTATCCCTTTTTACTGTCTAGGCAGTATATTATGCTAAAACCAAATTAATTTGAATAAATTTACCAAAAACTCTTTCTATAATTCATTAACGAGTTGCAACATTGTAAGTTAGCCATTAGCATTAAAACGTATTAAATTGCCAATACTTATATTATATAGCCGAGTTAAGAATATGCACAATGCATAGAGTAGTTTCAACACTCGATTGCCTCTTTCTCAATATCTTATATGTCAAAACTCAGTCAGGAAACCAATTGAGAGGTAAATTTGGACAAGATCGTTGCCTTGAATATTTATAAAAATTATTATTTTTCCACTAAGAGATAAATTCTTTCATCCTTAAAAAAAATTTGATGAGTTAAAATGTTTTTCAAATGCTGAATAACTAGCCAAATGATAGGATGCATATTTTTGTACAGATTTGTTTTGATGGCATATGCTAAAAATCACATTGCACACGATGCTAAGGAGCTGGAACTATTTGGAGTAGGGGCTTTCATTTTGGCCATAGACTCGCACCTATTACATAAATGAACAAGCATTAGAATGCATTAAATCTGTAGATCCATTAACTAGGATCCTAGTTACAACTAAGACAAGCATTAGAATGCATCAAACCTCTTCTGCATCTTTAAGCAAAACTCTTTTACAATACATAACTGAACAAGCATTAGAATGCATTAAAACTGCAGATCCGTTAACTAGGATCCTAATTACAACTAAGACAAGCATTAGAATGCATTAAACCTCTTCTACATCTTTAAGCAAAACTCTTTTTGGACTTTGTGAGACAAGCATTATGATGTATTAAATCTCTTTGAAGGAATTGAAACCTAAATACTTAAAAAAGACGGTACAATCTAAAGAGTTAAAAGAGAGCCATGTAAAAGCATCTCTCCTAGTAGTAGCATATAAATACACCCTTAGTCCCACAAAGTTGGCAACAAACTCATCAGCCCACCACTACAAAGTAGCAGTATCCCTTGAAGAGAAAACCACAACAATGGCTATCTCAACCATGACACTAGTTGTTGTTTGGCTATCCATCTTGGCTGCACCGTGTTTTGGAGACGATGGTACAATAAGCATCGGGGTGCCATGGAATATCCCATGCTTGCAAGCCGTGGTGAATACCCAAGGCTGTATTGATGAAATTGTGAATTCTTTCTTCAGTCTACAGCCCCATATACTTGGTCCTGCATGTTGTAGGTCTGCCCTTAGCATTGATGACAATTGCTGGCCTAAAATCTTCCCTTTTAACCCTTTTTTCCCACCACTGCTCAAGAGCTTCTGCAGCACACAATTACTCCCACCACAGCCATTGCATCCATGAGTTCTCGCGGCCTTCCAAATTTACAGGCTGTTATTGGAAATAAGATCACGTAATGCTCGATTAATATTATGGTTTCCCTTGTTACAAGTTACTTGGAGATAGGCCATAGTTGAGAGATCATCCAAGAGGACTAAAGATTATGGATTTTAATATTTTCATGCTTGAGTTATTTTTTTTTTTCAGTTTTAACTTTCGGTGGTATCACAAACCACTTACTAGTATTTTGAATAAAATTGTAGTGAAATATGCCAAACCATTTGTATTAATCTGGTTTTTGTGAACAGGGTTCTTTCTTTGGCAATTGAAAAACCTAAGCCAACAAATCAACATCGTGAATATGATGAAATTAACAACTTGACTAACAATTTCAAATATATAGGCATGCAGAATATGCAAAATATACATCTTCTTGGCTGAGTGAAAATATGGTAAATCATTTCCTATGAAGTAAATATGAAGAGAAATTTCCATGCATTTGATCTAAAACCTCAGCATGTTATTTCTTCAATTGTTAAAACTCGATGATTGCTGATGTATAATTCATATACAGAAACTTGCAAATTTTGATAATTTGCATGCCGTACTTTTAAACAATATCAAAATATCAGTAGAAAGGCGTGGAAATTTGTCATGTTAGCTATTAGGACAATGGTTATTAGTCCATTCCTGTCTACCTGTATATGGATAACTTGCTTCCGCAAGTTTAGTCAAGTGACGAGGAAATCTTCTAAGTGATGAGGAAATGAAGATTCAGTCAAACTACCATTTCTCAAAGGGGTATCTCAGTAGTTTGACCAAACCTCAGGGGTGAAAATATAATTAATCCTAAAATTATCCCTACATTAAACTTTTGAAAGGGGAGGAACATTATTTAGATCTCAAAGAAGAAATAGTTATGCATGCCATTTATTCACTATACAAGTCCAAATTTCACTCTTTTTCTGCCATATAATTTGTACAACCTACTGCAATAAGTACATGCAAAATTCAGATATACAAGAAGTCAAGAACGATACGTTTACTAGCAACTCTTTTGTCGACAAAGTTTATGGAGAAGATGTATGATATAGTATAGAACGGCAGTTTGGATTGCTATTTTCTAAACTTTTTATAGAAAAAAATGTACAGTAGTGATTTAGTATAATACATGTATAATAAAAAAATGATTGAGAAACGTGTTTATGGAAAACGTAAAAGTTTTTTTTGAAGAAAAATGATAATACAAACAAGAAACTTTTTGCGTTTAACATACAAAGTAGAAAATACTTTAATAATGCTAAGAGAAATTTGATATACGGCTATTT